CCGCACACCTCCTTGTCGTCGTCCTCCCAGCCCACGCTCGGGGAGGCTGCACTTCCTCCATCACGCGAACAAAGAAACATGGAGGAGGCCTTCGGCAGGCAGGCAGGGAGATGCCCCCCCCCTTTCACCTGCAATCAGGTACAATCCGGATGGCGGCCTGCTCGCGAAAGTTGAATTTCTTTCGAAGAAGAAGAAGAACTGTTTCAACACATTTAAGCACCGCAATTTTCAGACCATTACGAGCCTTCACTCCGAGTCATCACCGATCCTGAGGACCAATTTATTTTTGACATTAAATTTCATTTGTCGTCATAAAAAATTGTGCACAAAACCTTTCTTTCGGGTGTCAAACTGTTAGCACGATCTACCGCCGAGGAGGATGTTTTATTTTTTTGTCTTAATCAGTGACTGGAATCAGCAGCCTCCATGATTACCCTGACACCTGGTGTCATTATACGCCCATGCCTATTAAAAAAAAGCGCGCACACGTGATTTTCAGCCTTTATAAATGGTTCTGCCACCTCATCGGCCACAATAAACCGCGGCTGACCGTGTATCCAAACACGAGGTGCAGAAGCATTTCAGAAATATGGACGCCACTTGCGCACCTCTGCACATCCGAAGGGCCACTTAGCATCGCTCTTTGTTCCGAGAGGCCTTTTAATTAGTGAGGTGAAGTGTTGGGAAAGACGAAGGGGAAGCTCGGAGAAGATCTCGGCACGACGGGATGAAATGGGGGGCCGGGGGAGAGAGGAGAGGGGGCTTTGGGACGACGCGCGGCTGCTTAAGCTAATGGCCATTTAAAGAGCATTTGTGTACGCCACCAAGCGGCTGTAATGATGACTGCTGTTTACCCCCCCCCCCACTACATTCATAATAATTAACCGGAATGGATCGAGCTTTCGCCCCAGCCTGAATAAATGACCTACTGTAGTTGACCGGACGGTGACCGTTGCCTCCTGCGTGACCCCGGACCCCAGACTCACCCCCTGCGACTCGGGGTGGTAAATAGGATGTCTTGCTTGGTGTCTATGGCCACAATAGCAGCGGGGGTCCTTAAATGGCTGTGTGACAGAGCAGGGGAAAGAAAGGGCGACCTCAGCATCTCTTTTGTATCCCACGTTTGACTTTTGACGGCGCCCGGGAGACGACATGAACGGGTTTGATTTTTTTTTTACGAGCGAGTTTGTATGATATGTAAGAACGCCGTGAGCAAGTTGATCTCGCAAAATCCATTGATTAATTGTCACTCATCGATTACTGAATTAATCAGAAAATATTCTGATACATTCGCATTAACAGAGCTTCGGTATGTGGGAATTTTCAGCCTCGAAACAGTCCAAAAAAAAAATCTCCGATTTCTTCCATGAAAGCAGATTTCAACAGTTTCTTGACAAAATGTTTTCATCTGAAATGCACATAAACTGTACTGGGGGAATTTTTGATTGACGCTGATTCTGAATCTGTTTTTGTTTTTTTTTTTCCTCTTACACTTTAGGTTTTCATCATCATAAAATAGAATATATTTTGTCCTATTTATGAAATAACAGTTCTGCAGCATTTTTTTTTTCCCCGAGACGTCATAGCTATGAATTACAGTTCCTTATGGGCTCATGCGATTAGTCATCGGTGTCAAAGAAGTAGGCGACTGTTCTAAGATGTTTGGATGCCAGGGAGGAGGTTAAGTTTTGCCTGCCTGGGTTGTTTGCGGCATGTTCAGGAATTTTAATCTTAACGATAATTCCAATTGAGAAATAATCGTGGGTACCTTTTTCCGCTATTCGTGGGGCGCCGCGTGCCCCCGGGAAGAGCCGCGCTTCGACGGAACGTTTTCATTTGATTCGATTTACACTGATCGATTCAAATGACTGTACTTTTATTGGGCGCGGTTTAATCTGGCAAATGCAGGAAATGTCCTCTTTGGGCAATGCATCAGTCCTGCGAGCTTTCCAGCGGACTGTCATACACAGCGGCAGACAAATTCCCATCGGCATCCATTTCAATAAAAGTCAAGAGTGCTGTCAAGAAAAGTGTTACGGTCACAAAATCGGATCTGCGAGCCAAGTGTTGGGGTTCAGAGGGAGGTTAAGGGTTTCGAAATAACGCAGCGATAGAGCGTTGCAAAGTTGGGGCTTTTAAATGGGATGCGGTCGGGGAATTGTGTTTTCAAGCCAGGCTTAGGGTTTAAAAAAAAAAAAGGCCGGTTTCAAGTTTGGGTTCGAGTTTTTGTGTGTGTCTTGACCTGCTGGAGACCCTTCCTTCAGGGTATGTGTGTGTGTGTGGTGTGTGTGTCTGCACACACGTCCTGTATGTGGTTTTTTTGTGTGCACGCTGGTCTGCCTTCGATGCAAATGTGTATTTGTGTATCTACCTTAAGCTTTTTTGTGTCGATATAATCCGCACGTCCATGTGAATCTCTGTCGGTGTCTTTGTTTGTGCGCTTCCTTGTTTTTGCATCTTCTCAACTTAAAACGACTCCGCCATTTTTCCCCCCCTTCCACGTCATGATTCCCCTTTGAGTATTTTGTTGGAAGGCGCCACCAGGTGTCGCTGCCGTCCACGCGCTTTCGTCTCTTTTGACAAGCAGCTGGACACTTTGGAGCTGGCCCGCCATTGGTCGGTGCCGCTCGCCCCTCGCGGGCTCCAATTGGCCGCAGCTCTGAGGAAGAGGGGAGACACGACGATGAAAAAAAAAAAAAAAAACGGGGAGAGGTAGGAGAGGCGGGTTTGCACCATAAATCGCCTCCCAGTCCATCCCGCCGTTCTCCATGAGCGCCCGTGGGAATACTGGAATGTGACAGCTGACCTGTGGAGCCCACGTCGCCGGGCACATAAATTAGAGGGGCAGAATGCAGGGACGAGCTGATGTTGTAGCGAAGGGCACATGTGAAACAACAACAGCCCTTTAGCCAGTGTGACAAATTCGAGCAATAGCGGAACCGCGTGTAAATCAATAATCAATCGGGGCTGAAGCGGCGGGCTATGGTGGCCCAGGCTTGACATGATGGGGGGGAAAAAAAAAAAAATGAAACCGGGGCCACAATCAAGACATCACGTGCGCGCCTAAAAAATAAATGCTAATTTGTTGCCACAAAGTGCTCATTTGTGAGCACAAATGAGCATTTTGTGGCTACATCATAGTGATTAGTGGCCAAGCGATATTTTTGGAGGAAAAAGTCTTCCAAAACGCTCATGGCTGTTGGTCACATTAAAAAAAAAAAAAAAAAAAATTATCATTACGATTGTTAATTTTGCTCTTTTTTTGTCTGCACTCGCTGCCTTGTCACTGCCACCACTCGCCAAAAATGTCTCATCAGCATCATTCTCTCTGACCATAAGCTATGTTTTTGTGGCCCAAAAGTACGAGATTTTGTCCACATTATACTAACAAATTTGTGGGCATAAATGAACAAGGTATACAATGAATGTCATTAATAGGATTCATTTGTATTTTGTGCACACATTATATCCTCTTTGTAGCTACAAATTTATATTATTTGCGCACGTTGGAACTAATTTGTGGCCACAAAAAAGTATTTTGTGTGTGTTTCCTTGTATATTGACTTGAGAACATAAAATACTAATTTAAGTGATCTGGATTTTTTTTAGGTGGATTCTGGTATTTGGCAAAATAAAATTCAGAGAACAGATGAATAAAAAAATCAAACTTTTTTTTATTCACTCAACTTTTACAGCAATAAAGATATGAATTAGAGGAACAACATTTGACTTTTTTAAGAATACTTTGTCATTTTGTATCTAACTTTAGAGAGAAAAAAAAATTAATAAACTGGATGATTTTTGCTAAGAAAAAAAGGGGATTCTGAATCAGCGCAAAAAAAAAAATCATCAAGAAAAATATGCCATTAAAATTTGTTGATTGGTGCTATTCATCAACCTGGCCTTCATTTTGTATGCGTGCTACATCTATATTCCCGCCCCCAGTGTCGTATCATGTCATTTTAATTTTTTTTTAACATCGGCACACAGTCATGACACACGTTATGAAAATCGCACTTGATCTTCTGTGAGATGCCGGCGCTAAAGATCTCCATGACGGATCTGGTCATGACCCGCGTCACATGCATCAGGGACCAGCGGCGGGCCAACATGGCGACCGAGAGATGAATTCTTCCCAACTAATGGCGTTCACATGAGTTGTGAGCTTCCTAATTTATTTACTTTGTCATTGATACGCGCGCGCGCACATGCAACGCACGCACGCATACAGTAAAAATGTGCACACGTTACAGTAAGCGAGGGATCAATAATGATGGACGAGGGTCTTGCGTACAACGGGCACGTTGCGCTCGGTTCACAGCCACGGGACAACCGCGGGTCCATTCGGCAGCGCCGACACTCAGTCTTCAACGCAACACGTTGTTAGCGGCATTGATTTAGCACTTAGCGCGCGTGTCCTTATTACCTTGTAATTATGCTCCGTGTTGACATAACAGCGCGGACAAACGTCCCCCCCCCATCCGCCTTGCAATTTATGAGCTTTTATTACGCTCGTTTCACGTGTGTGGCTCCCAGTTTTTATAGGCGACGGACTAGAGTCCCAAGCCCGGGGCCCGTATTTCACCGTAAGAGGTCAAGGTTCTTCGGAAAGCTGCCGTAAAAGTCGACGGCTCGCGCGAGACGCAGGGAAGTCCTCCCAGAGGGCTCGTTAAAGTAAATAGGCGATTCCAGGCTATAATCGGCGTGGTGCTATTCAGCGGGGGCGTTATACGAACGCGGGTCATCAAAGCAAACACTTAGGAGACAACAGGAGATTGTCTGGACGCAATTTACGAGCGCATCGTCCAAAACACGCATGAAAGTGAACTTTGACTTGAGGCTGGAGTTTACGTCAGCCATTCGCAGATGCTTTTACATCCTGACGAAACTTTTCGGGACAGAAATATGGATGTCTAAATACAGAACTAATCTTGTGCTTGTGGAATATGAAAAAAAAAAAAAAAGATTAAAAAAAAAAATCTACCCGCTTTTGTCCATCTCAGGGAGCGGCCATTTTGACATTTTCCCTGAGGCGCAGGTTTGTCATTTTCAGTCGACAGCACAGAGCGGTCTAATGTGAAAATGGCCGCTGCTTAGATGGATAAAAACTGGTGAATTTTTCTGCTCAATTCATATTAAGAAAATGTTTGACTTGACTTGCCCTTTAAGTCACTTTTAAAAACAGGCCTCTTTAAACAGAAACAAGTACTTTGGTTCGAATAAATATACAATTATTTTTATTTGTGTTATATTGGTTCATGTGCTTTCTACGACTTTGCCCAAAATAAAATGCATTATTATTTAGCACATCAAAGAGACAAATGTAAGTTCGCCGTTTTGACATTTTCAGCTTATCAGCAGCGGCTGACTGGCTGAAAATGTCACCGCAGAAGCCCGTTTCATCCATCTGGCAGTGCCAGGAGGAGCTGCCAACATATTTTCGCCCGCTCGCACGTCAGCCGCAGAGCAAACCCCCTCAAGTGTCTTTAAATGTTGATTAAAAGGTGTAGTCGCGCGCGCGGTTTGGACATGAGAGAGACTTGCGCGGCTTTGTTTTGCACGTACGAGATCATTACCGATGCCGTTTTATGACTTTCAAGATGAAACCGGTCCTCGTATTTATTTCGGATGGTGGCTTGAGGTGAACCCCTGGAAGAGACGTCCATTATCGATGATTTGTTTTGTGTTTGTGTGAAGCATTTCCGTAATTTCCTCAAATTGAGATACAGCGCACACACACACACACCGATGGTGATCATTTTAGGGGGGAGCAAGACGTAAGAGAGTGCAAGCCGGTTCCAACGGCGGGGCATATTTCCAGAAGGGGGTGCTGCAGGGAGACGGGAGAAGGGGAACGGCCTGCAGTTGACGCCAAGCAGGAAGGAAGGAAGAGAGAAGCCGCTGGCAGTGTCGATTAACCCCCGAGATGGCGCCGCCATAATGAGCAACGGCACCATTACCCAGCGCCGCCGTGCCACTTCGCCGTCGAGCCCCGTGAGGAGAACGACGCCCCCGCCAAGTTGTCTGGCACTCACCAGCTCCGTAGGGAATGTCGCTGCCATAATAAGAAATTTCACGGGTCTCTTGCAGCGAATTTCATTGCTTTCTAAGAGGGGATTTCACTGCTGTCTGACAGTGAAAATGCCACCGCTAATAGCCACGGCGCACGGAGCGATGCGGGCGAATGCCATGTGCGCCTAAATGCTTTTAGTTTTCACGCGTGGCCAAACGTTGACAGCTAGTTGAGCCGCAATTCAAATTATTCGCTTTTTTTTTTTTTTTAAATGCTTTTAGTTTCTTTTTGGCATTCGTTTTAGTTATTTTCCTATACAGGGTATTTGTTGAGTGAAAGATCTGAAAAATAGTCTTAGTATTGTGTAAAAAAAGTAAACTACAATTACATCCTCCTCCTTGACGGCTGAACACGAATACGGAAATAAATACATTTTAAATAAAGCCCGAAGGCACGTGGACGAAATGAATGGACACAGACGAAAACAAATGATATATTCACCGTAGGCCTAATTCGAGTTCGTTTTCGACATGTTTTATACAGTTGGCTCGAGCGCAAGCCTTCAAAATAAAACACACGAGACACACACGACCGAGTGCGGACAGACCTTGCTGAGAATAAAGATGAGGTCTCCTCTGCGGAAGGACAGCTCGTCTGGCGCGTCAGCCTGGCAGTCCCACACAGCCTGGTAGTAGTTGGCATAATCCAAAACTGCTAAGGACGCAACGGAAAGCAAAAGTGTGTTATTATTTATTTTATTTATTATTGTTTTTAAATCATTAAACGAATTGATCAGATCTGAGATTTTTTTTTTTTTTCACCTGCTTTGCTGGGCGACTCCAAACAGTCGGCGGGAGGATCTGGAAAGTCCTCATCTAAGAAAATGAAGATGGCCCATTTATTTCTGTGGCATTCGCGGGCTTTTTGTTTTCATTCTTTCCGTAATGTTGCATTGTTTTGCATTTGGTGTGTTTTAAATGATTTGCAAGAGATCTTTACCACAATGACAACAGTGGCCAGTTTTCTAAATACAAAGCACAAAAAGCAGAAAAATAGCACTGCATTTTTTTTTTCTTTTTAGGATAAATAGTCTAGGAATCTAATTCAGTGGAATATGAGGTAAAACTAACAGTCATGAAAATCTTCAAATGCTTACACCCACTTTGAAATATCGGCATACATTCAATTGTGCGTAATCGCAAACAAACGAGAGTATCGACGGTTTGGATTGGAGAGCGGCCTTGTACGGTGGCATTAAAAAGGGAGCATCAACGTGACGCGGCTCAATGCTAACATTTGCTGATGTGCATCCATTGAAGGAGACAATAAAAGAGCCATTACGAAAAAAAAAATGTATAAAATGGAGTCAGGGTGAGATTCATGTGAATGCGGCGCAGGTTGATTGTGATTCTCGCCGCAGACTGCCCGCCCACGTGACGATCAATACGAAGAAGAGGATGTTGCCGAGCCTCATTGGCCGAGGGAGTGGATGGAGAGAGGGTGGGGGGTGGGGGGGGGGGTCGCACCCGGCGGGCTAAGCTGGGACACAGTGATACCGTCGTCTGCTCCGCACATCCATCGTCAACACTCGCCGGATGACAGCCACGCCAGCGCGAGGCAACACTATACCGTTGCCAGCAAGCTGCACCCGTGCTTCCAGGAAGAGAAGGGCACGCACACGCACACACACACACACGCACGCGCACACACACACACACACACACACACACACACACACACACACACACACACACACACACCCACACACACACACACACACACACACACACACAAGAACATACACGCACTACAATGTCACACAATGCCAATGAGTGACACAAGTTTGTTAGTCCAATTTTGCTGTTTGGATTTTTTTTTTTTTTTTGCGGTCTCTTTGTCCTGAGTCAGCAGTTTTTCCTCGAAACAGAAAACTAAAATGATGTTATTTATATGAATATTATAAACACGGGGGACAAAAAAAAAAGTTTCTTTTTGGTTTAACGGAACGAAAATATCGTTCTAACAGGGTACTTTGGGGACTAATAAACCGGTTTGAAAATGGTTCGATTGGCACCAAGGATAGACGAATATCGATAGCAGGTATCATATCGGGCTGATGCAGGTGTTATTTTAAGGTATCAGATGTGTTACAGAGGCTGCCGATACCATCCATCGATACTTAAGGCAAAAAATAATAATCTGAGAGAGTAAATCCTCCTCGGCAGTAGTTGGCATTATACTGTGGCAGTTTGACACATCAGCATACAATCATCTGCGTCAGAAGGAAAGGTCAGAGTTCACAATTTTTGTCATTGTGTTACTAGTACTAGAGACACCGGTACTCAGTGTCGGCGAGAATAGATTCAATACTCGAAATGGTATCATGCGGAGAAAAAGTGAACATGTGCGACTATGGCTCTGACGTGATTTTGTGGGTTCCTTCAAAAGCTCTCCGGAAAAGTGCAAGGATGAAAACGGCCATAAATACGAATTGAAGGGAAAGCAATGAGCGCGCGCGGGCTGCGAGGGAGCAAAGTGCGGCGCGCGGTGATTGATAAGTGACGGGGTGAGAATGTGAACGAAAGAGGCCGTCATCCGATCCGCCATCTGTGGTCGGGCCCCGTGCCTCCTCCCAGATGGCTTTGAACGGCGACGTGACACACACAAGACTGATCAGCCTCTCAGCGCAGATTTTGGCAAAGGTAATGTACTCGGGGAGTGAAACCGAATCTTGATGTATCTTATTTAATAGAAGCAGTGATGGACGATGGCCCCGAAAAGATCGGCTCGCGCCTTTTGTCCTCCTTCTCCCGGACACGAGGCCGCACGTGCCCTTAGCAAAGACTCGCAGGAACGTTTTCCCTCAAATCTATCCCAGATTTGACACGACGAGACCCAGAACTATTTTAAGCTCCCGGACGGGCCTTCATTACTTCTACAAAACCGCTGTTGCTGGGCAGTTTTAATTAAAACTATCATTTGTGGACACACACACATGCACGACATTGTCAAACAATGATGGACACAAGATGTCCTTCTGTCCGCATTTGCCGAGTCAGCAGTGAAATGTTTGTGTGCTTCTTGGCCAGAGAAAGCACGACTCATATGGTTCTAATCCAATTGTAATTTTTATTTATTTTTTTGAATGCTAACTTAGTAAACACTGACTTGTGCTCATGACTAAAATGTCATTCTAGCATCGTTTGGGTATTAAAAATATGTGAATGGAAAATGTAGTTCTAATACGGTAAAACATTTTTTTTTTTTTTTAATTGTTCAAATTCGGTTTTCTGGGTCGCAAAATATAGTTCAGAAAGGTCAAAGGTCCTAAAACATGTACCAAATCCTTCAATCTATGCCAGATTTAACAGGCAGAGCTGCAAAACTATTTTAAGATCCCAGACGGGTCTTCATTACTACTAAATTGCTGTTGCTAGGCAATTTTATCCCAAACTGTACTTTGTGAGCTGAAACGGGGGAGGCTATTTGTTGCCTGGCAACGTCAGCTAATTGGATGTGCTGCAACACAAAGGAAAGAAGTATCGATCAATCTATCCATTCATTTCGGGACTTGTTGGGACTCGTCAGCAGCCAAACGCAGACAGACAAGCATTCACAAATGAATTCGCTTGATATTATTCTGAGTGGGGACAATTTTCCATACTTAAAAAAGGGCTCTATATGTCCGAGCATGCCTCTGAACGACAGAACCGAGTTGAGACTCCATACCTGGCAGAACCTCGTAAATGTCACTGTCGTTGTCCTCGTCAGCCTCTGCCCGCCTTCCCGTGCTACCGAGGGACACCCGGTTGGCGGTGACGGCGGCGGCCGCGGGCCAGGGCGGGGTCGGGCCGCTCGCCCCTTCAATGTCGTCGTAGGTCCCCTCCTCGTCCTCGTCGTCGCCCACTTCATCATCCTCGTCCTCGTCAAAGGGAATGGTGCTGGAGCTGAGATCTGATGAAAGAGGAATGTTCACAAAAAAAAAAAAAAAAGAGAGCTTGTGTTTGGATTTCAGGCTCCATCTGGCTCCGATTAGTTCATCTTTGCACACAAAGCTCTAATAACCACTTCCAGAAAGTCTCAAATGTTTACTGTGAAGCGATGACAATGACTGACAAAATGATTGACGCTTTTCTGTCCAAATATGCAGCAAATGTTTACTCGTAGGCGTCGAGTTTTCTTTTTTTTTTTTTTTTTTTGAAAATTTTAAAACATTTTATGGGTACTGAAAATATGGTTCTAATATGGGGGACTTAGCAGTCTGGTTCTATTGATAACAAACATGGATCGAATATTGTCTCGGGGTCGTCCAAATCGGCGACACTAAACATGCTTCTCCCAATACTGAACATATGTTTCCAATATGATTCGATTAGATCATTAGAAACATTTGATCTTATCTAATCTCCCGTTCTTAAGAGAGGAAAAAAAAATGTTGAAGATGTAGTACGGCTTTTCGAATTGAGGAGGCCCATCCATCATCGGGCTGCATTTTGTCGTCCCCCCCAAAAAAAAAAAGGAAGCAAGACAAACTGCTGCGTGTCCGTTACTTCCCGCAAGTGGCGCGGCCCGAGCCCGAGCCTGTTTTAGCCAAGACGGAGGGCACGGCGGCCCCCCGGCTCTCTCCAGATGGACGAGCAGCCTCATTGCGGGCGACGGGGGCCGCTGCAACCACGAGGTATCAGGTCCGAGCTGAAATCAATGTCACGGGAGGATAACCAGAACAGCTACAAATCAATTTCCTGTAAGCTGGAATTCAGTAGGAGGGGGACGCGGGGGGGTTCGACTTCATGTACAAGAGCGACATGCAAGTTATGGGTTTTTGTTTAATTTTTGAGGTGGGATTACAGATGGCGCGCGTGCGAAATTAAAATCTCAGAAGATTTTTTTTCTGATTTGTCACTTAAATTCAGTTTTTCGACAAGTTTTGCTCTGCCCTCATTTTGGGATTTGCTTTGTTTTTCCTAATAGCAAAAAAAAAAAAAGTACGTCCCCCCACCCCCTGCCAGCATTTCTTCCCCATAATGAGCTCATCAATTTACGCAACTCAGTTCCTCTACAGTTTGCAGTCATGCTTCTAGTGCAAGCAGTGCACAGCAGCGGAGATGCATTTTGAAATCCAGATTCCTCCCAAAAGACCAACATAAAAAAAAAATCCCAAATCCAGTGAATAAACTAAAATGAATTGATCCCGCCCACTTACCTCTGAGCACAAAGCTGATGTAGTTGACCCATTCTCGAGCCTCCTGAGCACTGCTGGCCGTAAACTGGCGAGAAACCAAAATATACTCATTTGAAACTGAACTATCACTTCAATCTGCAGTTTGTCACATTTTGGAGGGAACCAGTTCATTACACTCTCTTATTATTTATTTCGTTTTTTTTGCATCAATAAGTGCATCACATCGATTTCCTCACATCAGATTTGATGGCCATGAATTACCAACCTGGTAAGTCTTCCGTCCGGGAGCAGACAGCTCGAAGCAGGCGTTCCTTTTGGAGTCTTTCCTCAGGTTGTTGACGAGCTGAACGCTGTAGTCGTTGATGTAAAACGAGCCTTTCTGTTGCTTATCTGCAGGGGGGGAAGCAGACGTGCAAAACCCGCTCCCCCACAAAAATAAATAAAAATTGAAAAATCATCATAATAGGCACATTTTTAAATAGGAGGGTCCTGATTGACATTGACGCTATCAAAGTCCCCTTATGCATGGAAAAACCGTTATCAAATGAAAAATGAAACGGATCATCCACTCTCCATTAGAAAGCAACTAGAAGTTAATCTGACAGCGTGACTCAAAAAAAAAAAAAACAAGTCCTAAAGTCTGACTTGAGCGAAGTCATGTGAGTCAAGTCCCCCCACCTCCGCTGCTAAAAGAAGATGGCCTCCATTACTGATACCTCGACGTTTCTTTTCCAAGTAACCCTGCTTCAGGATGTTGCCAAGGTCTTGAGCGGCTGTGAGGGGGATGTCCTCAAAGTCTGAAAACATAAAGTAACAGTCATAAAGCGATTCATTCCGTGGCATGACTTAAAACGATGGTGGCAAGGTGGGTGACTTGTTTGAATCAGCAACCCCGATCGTCGCACACCACAAAAAAAAAAAAAAAAAAAAAAATGGCCGGATGGCCTTGCACTTTAAGGAACCACTATTAGGGAATTCGTCCAAAGCAAGCCCCAATCAGACAGATGGCTGACACTAATCGCAAAGCTTTTTTTTTGCCAACATCATCTAATGTGGCTGGACCATGGCAGCAAAGTTGTAATCGAATAACTCGGCTTTAAAAAGCAAATCAATCAATCAGCCCCACCCGATGCCAGTTTCAATTATGAACACTCAATTGGGTGAGATGTCTATCATAACAGGGAATGCTGAAAAAGTCTCAGGGACTTGATGCCCGAACTTCAACAAAAAGTTTTCTTTGGGGGGGGGGGGTGAAGCAGCCATTTCAAGCCCCGACACGAAGAAAGTCCTCTGGAGTGACGCCCAATTGCAGCTTTTTTTGTTTTTTTTGCACATGCCATCCAATGTAGGCGGCGAATGTGTCAATGTTTGATGATTATTTTAAAGGCTGGCCCAAAAAAAAGCGCCCATTCATCGCTGCCTGCAACTTTTAATTCGTCTTGTGATTGTTTCAGCACCGGTTCCTTCCAGGGTGATCTTTATTTCCGAGGTGAGTCATCAAGGCGATGTAGCCCTTCCACACTATGGATTAAATACATGGCCGCGAGGCTTTGGGGAAGTGGGATCAATACATTTACAGTGTTGCTGAGCTCTGCAGCCATCCGTCTGCTCACGCTGCACCGACTCGACCCCTTTGATTTGCAAAGTCACATCTTCAATGTGATGTTTACATCCATGACTACTTGACAAACACGCTAATAAGTACTTGTTTATATTAGCATTGAAGCGCCCGGAGGGAGGAAAAAAAATGTGTACATTGGTGTCTTTTTTCAGACTTCAGCTGGAAAAAAAAAAAAATGGGGAAATTGACCCAAGGTGGGCCTCGGGGGTCAGGTTGTGATGTGTCGTTTCCGCGTGTCAAAAACAAAGTTCAGCTTCCTCCGCAATCATTCGTCACCCGGCGTTCGCCCGGTGGGGAAGCCTGCCAAGGGTTAACGCGGTGCTTTCCTTGCGAAGGAAATCTGGAGGTGGCCGCCGAATTACAGCCAGTGTCGTTTTTAAATGCAATTGCACCAAATTGATGAAGCGGCGATCGAAAACAGTTGGAGCTCACTCTTAAAAGTGAAAGGAAAAAGCTGCCACACTATGGGAACAATTGTGGATTTTCCTTCTAAATGGGTTTCATGTTTTTTTGGTTTTTTTTTTAAACACGCTAATGCTTTGTTTGCAACCAAGCACGCCTTATTTCTCGGGATGCAGCATGTGATGCCGTCGGGACCGCGTGAAGTGCAGATGAAACTTTACGGAAGCTCGCCGGAGTCTCTGTGATGTCTCCTGCATTCCGGGTGTACGATTCTGACAGATGAGCGCGTCACGCAGGCGTGAACGTATCACAATCCCGCCTTTGTGGATGGACTGACCGCGGACACTATAAATACAGAGTTGCGAGAAGGGGCGACTTTGTCAAAGGACCCGATTCAGTCCATCATAACAAACGGCGGCCATTACGCTCCCCCCACCTCATCTATCCGCCGGCAGCCCGCCTTCTAATCCCCTCATCCGTCTGCCTGCTCGCTCTTCATTCGTCTCAAGAGGTCGAGCCCGACTAATGGCGAAGTAGGTGCAACATGCTTGAGTCAATAAACATCACACGTTTTTGGGCTCAAAGTAGACTCCTGAGTCACCTGACCACACGTCACCTCACGAAAATGGGACTGTTTTAAATTATTCCACAAGGGGGCAGCACGCATAGAAAAGAATCCGAGTAAATGGGTTTTGATTTGCAAAGTAAATCCTTGGCTATTTGCAGAGAAACAGCGGAAGGAATGCAACAAATAAAAATATTCCAAGACCCTCAATTTTAAGCCTCAACAGGGCTGATTACAGAATACAATGAGTCAAATGTGGCCCGCGGGTCATATTTTACTCACCCCTGCTCTCTCATGCATGTTATTAAGGCCTCATCAAAAATCTGCGAGCAGACGGCTGCACTCTTTCATACCAATCATAAATTGCTCGATCAATTATTCAGGCCAATAGCACGACTTCATTTTCGTCCCCTTTTGAGTTTTAATTAGCACCATCCACAGCTCCGCTATTGACATTAATTTGATGGGAACGTATCGATCTTTCCCCCATAAACTATTTAGTGGAGCGCAATTAGCCGCAGAGACAAGCGGACGGATGTGGCGTGTTTGCTAAATGGAGGCGGTGTGGAGTCAGTAGCAACAAAAGCTCTCAGAAAAATAAATAAATAAATAAATAAACGTAACGACAGGTTTGTATTGATAAAGACAGACAGGTAGAGAAACAGAGACAGAGAGCTCGAGATACGAGTGACAGAAATGGCTAAATCGAGACAGAAAGACCGACATTGGCATTGAGAGTCGACGCGGCAACGCATTGGGCAGCCAGCTGTTTGCCGCATCTCTCATTTGGTTGCTCACGCCAGCTCAGCGTGGCGTTACGAGCTCAGAAGACTGAAGGCTGACGGATGACGGATGGCGGCGGCAACGGCGGCAGCAGAGGAACTTGGGGACTACTCTCATTAAAATCCACTCCGGTCGAGCCCAAAGTCAATCAGGAATGGAAGGAAATGCTCGGGCGGCACAGCTAATACGTCGCATTAAAACTAACGGTGGTCATAATGCGGCGTTGATGCCCGCTACGACGCGCCAGAGCAGCAGAGATCCAGATGAGGGGATGCAGAAGAGGATGGGGATGCTACGGTGTGAGTGCAGCGGTTCACACAGCAGGTGGGGGGGGGGGGGGGGGGGGGGGGGGGGGGCTTAGGAAAAGGCCCTTTCACTGTAGCCGCAGGACGCCAAACATGGAAGTTAAATGTTGTCACTGTTCTCCAGGTTGATGTATATTATGTAATAGGATGCAAATTTAGTAAAGCTGCTTTTTTTTTTTCCATGTCTTAACAATTTATTAACACAGACTGTGAGAGTACCTGATTATGTCCTAAATGTTAGCGGTCACTTAAAAACATCCTTACTTGTGGGGGAAAAAAAAAAAAATCACTTTGCTGTAGAGGGGGGCCACAAAAGCGGTCAAACAAGTAGGCAATGATCTGGGGTTCCCAATAAATAGAAGGCTTTTGACGTGTATTTTGCGTGCGCAAGCATTAGGCACTTAGCGGGATGAGCCCGCGAGGTGACAAAGCGCAGGTAGGCATCAAGATGTCATACGTTTCCTCTCTGCTGTGCTTAGTCCTTGGATGCGAGAGGTATCGCATTGAATGCAGTGTTTTGGGGACGGCGGGGAGGGGCGTGACCCCCGCGTGAACTCTGCTGATGAGGTGAAACAGAAGGCAGAGAGAGAGGCGGCTCGGCCCTGAGGGGGCTGCGGGGAGGAATGCCGCTGATTCAAGGGAGCGAGCGAGCGACCGCAGACCCTCTCCGATGGCGTCCTTGATTAGGAAAAAGGATTCAGTGGGTGCACCTTCACCCGCCCGGCTCTCAATCTGCGCACGGGCCCAGGCCAAATTGACGCATTTTTCCTCATTACCGAAGGGAGGCCTTTGCGGCGCGTCCCTGCAGCGAGCATGCAGACCGACAGGCACTGAGGTTAAGGGCACCGCGTCCTCCCTTTTCCCTCCTCCCTCGGCCTGATGTGATTAGGACCAAAGTCGTCGATACAGAGAGCGTGTTTAGAAGCTCCTAATGCACACAAAACATGCGGGGCATTACGACAGGCCTGGGAGATGCCTGCGTTGTCATCTAATCAACTTTAATGGCACCGGCAATTTATGCTGGGCTTTTTGATCAGGCGCGTCAATCAGATTAGGTCACAAATCTCTGCAGGTAAAAAGCCTTCGGAGGCCCCCCCTCCCCGACACAAAGCAGAACCGATTGGGCAATTTCGTTCGGTGCCAGTTTAAACACATGAAGATTTTTTTTTTCTCCTATCATCATAGTAACATTTACATATGAAACTCTAGACATGACATGGGGGGTGGGGGGTAATATGTTCAAAAAATTCAATAGTAAAACAGTTGCGTAAGCAAAGGGAGAAGAAACTAAAGATAGTGAAAGTTGCTTAACGGAAACGCTAAATTATTCAAGTGAATTACACTAAACACACAAATTAATATTTTACACGCACATTATAACCATTTGATCGCCGCAATGATGCCATTTGTGACCGCAACACTGGAGGAGGGGAAAAAAAATAAATAAATTGTCGTCTCAACACAGTATATTTAAAACATGCATATAAAATGTTCATTTGTGGCCAAGAATTAGGGACAATGAGCACGTGAAATACAAATTTTGTGACCAACTGTAGGCACAAAATGAAAATATGACTGATATCCGAGTCAGTCCTGGACGGCTGGGTGAGCAAATGGAGTGCACCTTTTCTAGAAACATTTTGCATTTGCAGTTTCAGGTGAAGGTGCGCTTCATTTGTTTACCAAGATGTCACAAATTTCATGCAAACATCAATCCCAATTTCGTGGGCACAAATTAATTGTATTTTGAGGCCACAAATGACCATTTGGCACATTGTAGGCAGAATATACTTTCACAATTTCACATTATGAGTGTTTGTTATTCTTTTTTTTTTTTTCCTCCCCTCACACAACTTGGAAAGAGCAAAAGTTCTTGATCTCAGCGATGGAATAACTCCAGATGACACACACAGCACACGCGAAGCACACTAAGGGGCTAAATTTACTACATGACACGGGCTTCCCCCCTGGGCGGCCATAAGCGGCGTCGACGGTGACCCTGAATTTCCCTTTTGTAGATTTACAACCACCATTCAAATGCTTAAGTGCAGATACAATGATCCTCTAATCGCAAGGGACGCTTTTCAGCTGCTTGGACGGTAGGGGGGGGGGGGAGAATAT